CCTCCCAGCCCTGACATTCCCTGTTCTAAGGCCCCTCCCAGCCCTGACATTCCCTGTTCTAAGGCCCCTCCCAGCCCTGACATCCCCTCTTCTCCTTGGACATTCTCCAAGTCCTCTACCCTTGGTGGTCCACAGCTCTAACCCTCTCACTCTAATGTTGGTTCAAACAGAAGGACCCTCAGCGTGCCCTGAAGGATCTGGCTAAGATGTGCATCCTGGCTGACTGCACACTGATTCTAGCCTGGAGGTGAGGTCTGGGGCAGCAGCAGTAGGGGAGTGATGGGGGGCGGGGGGAAAGTAAAGGCCAGCCTCACTCCTTTCCCTCTGCCCTCCCCTAGCCCAGAAGAAGCCGGGCGGTACCTGGAGACCTACAAGTCCTATGAGCAGAAGCCTGCTGACTCGCTAAAGGAAAGGTTGGAGCAGGACTTTGTGTCAAGGGTGAGGGGTTTCTCTTTCCCTCCTCTCCCCTGGCCCACAGCCACCACGGCTCTGTGCAGGGAGCTCACCTCCCAGCTAATGAAGCTCTTCCCCTCCTAGATCACCGATTGTCTGACCACAGTGAAGTCAGTGAACAAGACGGACAGCCAGACGCTGCTGGCCACCTTTGGGGTGAGGCTCCTGCTGGGTGCCCCAGGCTGTTCCACTCTCACCTCCCCCCGAGTCCTGGGCTGTAGTCCTCCCCTGTCCCTCCATTCTTGTGAGGCCAGCACTCTCCCTTCCCCGCCTCTCGGGACCCCCCAGCCACACACTTGGGGGAGGGGGTCGGTCACCTCACCTGTCCCTTTCCATATGCCCCCCCCCTTTCCCTTTGCAGTCTCTGGAGCAGCTCACAGCCGCCTCTCAGGACGACTTGTCCCTCTGCCCTGGCTTTGGGCCTCAAAAGGTGAGAGGGCAGGGATGACCTTGGAGATTCTTAGACCCTGAGAAGCCCAGAGCCGCCTTTCTAGTCTAGTCCCCTCAATTTACAGAGGGGGGGTTAGTGATGGAACCAAGTCTGGCTCCAGGACTCCCAGATCGGGGCTCCCCACCCCACCCCACCTCCAACCTGGGAAGAGACCGGCAGGGGATGGGAATGAAGACAAACAGCTGTACCCCAGATGGGCTGAGATCTCCTTTTAATGGCCGAGGCCAACTGTCTGCTTCTTCTCCAGGCCCGGAGGCTCTTTGAAGTTCTACACCAGCCCTTCCTGAAGGTGCCCTGAAAAACCAGGGCTCTGCTGGGCGGGGAGGGTCTCAGGATGGACACCAATAAAGCATGAACACCAGCAGGCCTGTCTCCATCCCTGCCAGGGCAAGATGCGAGCCTCTCCAAGGTCAAGGGCCACCACTGTGGCCCCGTGGGGTCTCTTCCCTCTGGCCCCAGACAGGGCTCAGATGGGGCTGGTTCATCCGCTTAAGCCTCTGCTGGCCCCCCCTCCCCCTGATGCCGCCTCTTCTTCTTTCTCTTCTCCTCCACCCCCTGGCCGGGGCTCGGGGGGACTGACTCAGGGACCCCTGCCAGGGACTCCATCTCCTTGGGGGGCTCTGGGGCCGCCCCCTCCCCTTCCTCCGGCTTCCTCTTCTTCTTCTTGCTGTGCGGAGGCTGGGCCTCCCCGAGGGCCTCGGTCATCTCTGCCTCCTCCAGCATCTCTCCTCCCGCCTCCTGTTTCTTCCTGCTCTTCTTTCTGGCCGAGGATGGGGCTTTCTCCTCTTGAAGGTCAATTTGGACCTCAGACTCTGATGGCCTCTCCTCTGGCTCCATCATCTCTCCTTCCAGCTCACATCTCTTCTTGCTCTTC